TTTACCTAAAGCCGGGATCGTTTCAAGTGGGTGTTTTGGATCGGGTGACATCAAATTCGGTCAAGCTAGTTTTCACCAGGTCAACTCGGACATTGACCCAGTCCAGTCAACCCGGTTGATCAAGTCACAATAATTATTTATTTATTTATTCTCTAAATATTTTATATTTTAAAATAAAAATTATGTGTATATATTTATGTGGTAAATATTTTATATGAGACATAATATTATAATACTTTTATGTATAAAATTTATATAATAAATATTTATTTTTGTTACTCTTATGTATATTTATAAAATATAAAAATCTATATATAAAATTTTAAAATTTATAAAACTAATTATCCAATTTACCAATTGACTTAATATCGGTCGATCCCCATGTCTGGTTTGAAACAGTGGTTGATTGATTGGAACTTGGAAGTTCATATATGCCTTTTGTTGAGGTATTAAGATTTTCGTCTTTCATTTTAACTCACAATATTCAATATTTATATATATATATAAAGAGTAGTAACAAAGTATTAAATTGTATTATCATGCATTAAATTTTATTATCCCTCCAAAACCTTCAACATTCAATTTTATTAGTTTTTTGCATTAAATTTTACTAGTACAATACCCGTGTATTACACGGGTGTTGAATTATAAAGCTTTTGTAAAAAATATTAAATTTTTTATTTTTTAAGAAACCAAAATAATTTAATTTTATATAAAACATTACTTTGAGTTTTAATTAAATTGTGAAATTATATTTTTTTAATCATAATTATTTAAAACTCGTACATTAAATGAAAATGTCAACCCGTGTTGAATTATATTACTTATATCATATAAAAATATCGATATTATTTACTATTACATACGTACAAAAATATATATCTTAAATAAATAAAAATAATATGGTGACACAATTTTTTAACTTTATATGTAATTTTAGAATTTATATAAATAATTATTTATTTTTATTCCATTGACAGCATACCAAATAGATTTGAAATAAATATCATAATAATTAAACACTCGTATATTAAATAAAAATGTCAATCCGTGTTATTATTATGATAAAGATAAATTATAAAGATAAATATAATTCATTTATTTTATATATACAATATAGATGTCAAATCGAAACTCATCAAAATATGATTATTTTGATATATTATATATGTAAAATCGATAAGAAATACAAAAGTTATCAACTTTTAATATATATTTGCAATTCAATGTTTATAATAGAAAATGATATTAAAATATAATTAATACAAATATTAATTTATATCCAAACCTAACTTCAAACCATGATTTTCTGGCAAGTAGGATACCGAATCATGAGAGTTTGCCACGTAGGCTCAGTACTTTCAGAAATTATATATAGAGGAGACTATTCCTCCAAAATTTTTAACATTCAATTTTATTCGTTTTCACATAACTAAAACTGTTACATTCAGCATTCGATTTTATTTTATTAGTTTTCACATCGATCTATATATATATATAAAGAGGAGCAACACAATTAATAATATTATTTCACTTTCCTTCTAAAATCGTTACAAAATTTTTAATTTATTTATTTTTTATTTTTTTCTTCACTCATCTCAATTGTGTAACGTTTTTCATCACCTCTTCCCCATCAATCACATTATGTAACAATCATTATTTGATCTGATATGGAAGAATTCATACTTATTTCCTTTTCAAATTTCATTTTATTTTTGATTACATAAAAATAGTTTTATACAATAATTCAGATTCCAAAATGATGTAATACTTATTCTTCGATATGATCTGACAGGATTCATGCCTATTTCCTTTTCACTTTACTATTTGTTGAATGAATGTAACAAAATAATTATTTATATATGTATTATATATATATTCAATTTTTTATGATTGAGTACGTAAAAATGATTCACACAATAATTCAAATTCCAAAATTACAAAATCAAATAATTAAGAAATAAAACTAATAATATCCAGTCATCTATTTCAATATATTTATATATATCCACCTACAAGAGAAAACAATATATCTAATTGTATAAATCATTAATAATGAATTATATTTCAAACACCAATATATCTCATTATCATGTTGCCATATTCTAATTTTATATATTTTTTCTTATTCTCAATCCAAATGTTTAGGTGCAATATTATGTTACTAATGTCATTTAACTAAAAAGCATTACCTAATCAAGAGATGTCAAATTTTCTATGGCGTTATATTAAAATATTGTATATAAAGTATAAATGTTGTATATAAAATATTTTTTAATAATATTTAGAATTCTTTTCTTAATTAACATTTCTTCTTGAATTAAATTATGATTTAGTATTTTTGTTTTTCTTATTTTCTTATTTTATTTTATATGAATTTGTAACTGTGCAAATGCACAGGTTGATTACTAGTATTTCTTATTACACTTCTACTATTACTTTATTTACATGTAAAACTAAAACTGTACTTAACCGTTTTAAACTTGATTTTTTTGAACTATACTTTTATATGGAAATTTCACATTCTAAAGAGAAAAATAAATAAAAATATAATATTTGATAACGTAAATATATAATTTAAATGAAAAAAATGATAGGACAACAGGACAACTTATTGAAAAATATTTATGAGCCATCAGCCACACCCGCCATGTGTGTTCAATTCACACCAAGCGAGGAAATTGGGTAACCATGGTAGAGTACTCTTCAACATGTTCACATTGATAGATATCAACATTTGTGATATGATCATATAATGTTTTTTCTTTTCAGACATTGCTTATGATAATTTTGTATTTATATAAACATTTCATCTTGTATAAATTGTGATATATTGTACTTAATTTGTTATTTATCTGTACACTCAATACATCAATTGATCGCGAGTAGACATGGTCAAAACCAATTCTGGGCCCAGAGTTGGACGATCCTGAACCGGCCCAAATATATGCTCGGGCTGGTAGGGTGAACCGCCGGTTTTGATTTCGGTTCGGAACTGGCCCGAAGGTTCAACCAGTACATATATGTGGCCTAGAACTGATCCAGTCAAAACACCAACTCGGTTCGAGGCCCGTTTACTACGGGCCGATTTGGCCCATGGTCATGTTTAGTTGCGAGAATTTTGATAGATACAACTAATGTAGGTAATGAGCTAATGGTAAACACTAAAGTTAAAGATGTGGCCTTTAATTTGTTTTCATCTCGATTTATTTTTGAATGAACATAAAGTTTTGTATGAGGCAGTTTAATTGTGAGGCGGTCGATCCGTTATACTATTTTAATGCATGCTTATACTATCAAATGTCATATTTATATTGCTTTTTTTTTTTAAATATGATATTTTTTTTGTTAAAATTATGCATATTTGTGAGAAAAATATACGTACCTAATGCTTAGGCCGACCTAACAAAAAAGAGAAGGTTTACCGATGATTGAATTATGAAACCTTCAACGTCCCTATAAATAATAATTTTCACTGAAGAAAAAAGCTCTACCTTGGTCTTGCCTTTTTCCCTTATCACTTTTTGGCAATGGCATTTTTCGTTGTGGTTTGATCCAAGAAGGGTTTATATGAAAGTCTGTTTAGCCAGATATTTTTAATACCATAATAAGTTTATATTTAACCATTAAAAAACTTTTCATGACGTATTTCGATCTGAGTCGTGTCGATCGTGTCTCTATATGTAGTTGTATTTTCTAATCATACTTTATAGTGTTTGTGTTTCGTGTCGTGCTAGTTAAAAGAGCATAATTTCATTTTAATCATACTTTAATCTACATTTTAATCTACTTTATTGACCAATTTCCATGACGGTCCACCTTTTTTGGAAGATATCAGAGTACATTAATTTAAAAAAAAATCATCAAATAATATTCGCTAATCATTAGTGAAAGGATAAAGGCTAGATTATTTAAATCTATCACAGGCTCGCAGTAGGCTGATCACGGGCTAAAAATGTAGTTCGTGCACATATATAATTTAGGACGTAAAATTGATTGAGAAAACGAACTTCAATCGGCGTGAAATTTTGCGTATATAACTGTCTCGACGATAAGAATTAAACGATGGATCACATACTTGAAACTGAAGTGAGACACACCAGAATTAGGCCAAAAATATAACAACTCATATTCTGGACGAAAAAATTGAGTAGACAAATGAAATTTAATTGAGCTATAAATTTATGATTACGGCCGTCTTGAAAAGACGAATACAGATGTGAGTCACCGACTAAAACTTGCGCTACAAGACAAGAAAATGACCCTTATATAGGGAATAATGAATTTGTGCCAAAATTATTTTGGACAACAAATGGAGCAGCCAACCGAACTCCTATTGAGATCAAATTTTGTGCGACTGGTTCGACAAGAAGAATCCGATAGTTGGTCACCCGCCTAAATTGGATGCTAGGTGACATCGGAATTAAACTGGATATAAAACAACTCAAATGGTTTTGGATGGAAAATGTTGGCAAACGAAGTATGATTCGGCTAAACGACTGTCTCGACGAGAAGAATCCAATGGTGGGTCACCCACGAATGATTAGTGTACCTTAATGGATTTTTCTAAATTAAATTAAAATATTGGAACAAAGATACTAATATAGTGTGGACTGAAAATGAAATTATGTCAAAGCAAAACATCAAAGTCGCACAACCCGTGGAGCATAACTGGAGAAAAATTCAAGAAAAATATTTTTTAGCCCACTCGTCAACGACCTGGAGAAGTCTCCTTGATCCTTCTTACAAAGGTCAATTCTTTTAATCTAAACATCATATTTTTTTGCCCTCGCATGTGTCCAAATTTATTACATTTTTTATATGACCAAACTACCTATTTTCCCACGTAGTTTCGTACATTCAGTTCACTGTTGGCACATATAAAAGGAGATGGCCAGTGAGCTTAGTTTCTACCTAGTGTGTGATCATAAATTCCACCAAAAGCCCAAATAAAATCCCACAAAAGAAAAAAATAATAATAATAATTTGAAAAAAAAAAAATGGTGAAGCCGGCTTCTGTAGACGGTAACGGGTTGAAAAAAGGCGCGTGGAGTGAGGAAGAAGATGAAAAGCTAAGGGCTTATATTCAGAGGTATGGCCATTGGAACTGGAGATTGCTGCCCAAGTTTGCTGGTAATAAGTTTTCTAGTTTCCATTTTAATTCTTTCCTTTTTTTTCTTTAGGATTCAACTTTTTTTTGTGTTAAGAGTTTTAGAATTTGATAAATAAGTTCGAAAGTATGCATATATGACAAAAAAGTATGATTGTGTAAAAACCCTCTTACTGTGTTATAAAAGCTCTCTATACATCCAATGTAAATAGCTAAATAAAATTAAAATGTGTTATTTTTAGGTTTGTCAAGGTGTGGAAAAAGTTGCAGGCTAAGATGGGTCAACTATTTGAAGCCTGGGGTCAAAAGAGGAAACTTCACCAAGGAAGAAGAGGATATGATCATTGAATTGCATTCCCAGCTTGGAAATAAGTAAGATGAAATCTAGCCATATATATTGATATATCATATATATATGTGTAGGTGTATATTTCATGATCATGCTAAGTGATTAATTATTTCTATAGCTTGCATTTAGCTTGTGATATATACATATGTGTGTGTGTGTTTAATATGTGCATATTATATTAATAAGAAAAGTAAAAAGGGAGATCTATCAAGTCATCATATTTTTACTAGTATTAATCTTACTTATTAAGATTACTACATTAATCATCAATTTCAAAATTGAACTAATCTTGTAGCATGTTATATATCAATAATGCAGGTGGTCAGCCATTGCAGCAAAACTTCCGGGAAGAACCGACAACGAAATCAAGAACTTCTGGCACACGCGCGTTGGGAAAAGCCGGAAACAAAGTCCATTGTCCGCCGATACTAATAATTCGACCGAAATTTCTGAAGATCAGGAGTTAAATGAAGAGGAATACACTTTTCGCGAGACGGGTCAAAATGATGAATCCACTCCCTTAGATGGGTCGGGCTTGTTCATGGAGCCCGACCCGATAGATTCTTGGCCCAATTCATTTTCGACCGATACTGCAGCCTACGGGCAGAATAATTATTACTACCCGCCAGTACTGCCCGAGGAAGATTTTTTCTATTCGGAGTTCGGTTATGGTAATCAATTATCAAGCACGGGCGACTCTTATTATTCGAACAACCAACCGAGTTTTTGGGAAAAACCTTTTGCATCAGATATTGCATCAACTTCACAATGTCAAACTAGTTATGATCCACATGAAGAGGAAGTTGGAGGAGTTTATGATCCTTTATTTGAGGACTTTGATCATGGGATCAATTTGTTTAATTAGCTAGAAATTAGTTGCATGAAACGAGTTAGGGTTTATAGTTTGAGAATATTATATATCTGTGTGTGTGGGATACTTGACTTTTGTAAATGAGGAATCCATTACTAGAATAAAAGATTTAATAAACCTATGTATTATATATTACTAGTAGTATTATCATTGTTATTTGACTATTTCCAAACACTTGTCAATATATTTGGAAAATAATAAGAGAGAAACAAGTATAAGATTATCCTACTCAACATAATATTCCAACTCAATCAAATATTGACTATAGAATCTCCCAACCATCCAAACCTTAAAACCAACCAAGACAATAGTAGATTTTGTCCCCACAACATTAAGTAACATTGAGAAGACACAAAATAACCTCTACTTTGTCCTCCTTAAACTAAAGTCTCCTTTCTTATTCATATTGTCTATGTATCATTTCCAATTCAATCTAATAGCCCTTTCACTAAGGCCACAACATAATGTATATTAATATATGTATACCATTTCCATCTATTTGATGCCTTAAATTCTAATTGTCACCATCATTGTTATTATTATTATCAACCTTTGAGCCCGAAATTGAAGTGTCCTGCAAAGCCCGGCCCGTGCAAGAGCCCAGTGCCAGGGCCCACAACGACTCGTAACCTTCACTTGCTACACCTTGTATCTTATCATAGCACTGCAGAAAATCCTCCTATATATAGCAACCGAAAAAAAGAAAGAACACAGTTCCCATCAATAAACGAGCGCGAAAATTTTCAAGACTTTTCAAACTCGTCGCGAAATTATTAATACCGTTGAGTATTAATTATTACAAGTACTTATATAGCAAAAAACACAAATCAACAGCAAGGCATTATTACTTATTAACTATACCTTATCTACATAAGAACAGCTGCAAACAGCATTTTTGAACGAAGGAAACTGAAATGGAAAAAAATCGCTAACTGCACAAAGGAGTGCTGAAGCTGAGATAAGCGAAGGCTTGAACTCGAGCAACTTGACATCTACATAGAAAAATAAATGAATTAATGTTCGTTAATTAATCGGCTTAAATATTATTATTAGGTGATTTGTAACGAAAAGTTAAAACGGCGACTAACCATTTGGAGCTTTCAAGATTATCTCGGTGGCCCTTTTCTTCAAATTCGGAACCGAATGCTTGTCGATGAACATGAAGAATGTGATGAAATAGTTCAAGAAACAAAACGGGTTTGCTGAGCGCATACGCCATTTTAAAGCTCCAAGAATTAGCAACTCCATTCGGTTGATCATGCTCGAATCAAACATGAAGTCTCCATCTTGCTATATATATAATCAATCAAATTAATACATATCAAATAAAAACAAGATTAAAAGGAAAAAAAGAAATAACAGGAAAGAAAGAAAGAAGATAACTAAAATGTACACTAACACACACACACACACACACACAAAAGGCACAAAGATGAAGATTTTACAATAAGATCAGAAACAGAGTAATCTGTTTTCCTCATTTTCAGTGCTAACGAAACGCAAGCAATCGCCACAAGATCGAAAATCCACAGCTTTCCATCCTGGAAAATCGAATATTTAATAAACCCACAAGAATCTTTATTTCCTTACATTAAACATATGTATATTTAAAAAAAATGAATACAACTAGCAGAGAACAAACGAGCACGATCACATTTCTTGATTATTTCCACGATTTTACGTACGAAAAAAAAAAAAGAAGAC